TCTACCGTTTTCGACGGATTCAACGGAACGGATACGGATCGGACGTGGGTAAAACGACGTTTAACGGGAATGTCAAAGGAATGCGAAAGCGATTCCAACAACGGTCCACTAATGAACAGACTAAATGTGTTGAATGCGTATCTGGTGGACTCAATGACGTGTGGGACCAGCGATGTGGATGGTTCCGGATTGGAGTCCATTAAAGTACTGTGCCTGTTAGATTATGCACGATCTGGTAATCTATCCTGGGAAAAAAAGTAATTGAACCAAAGAACTATATCTTTGAATAGTACCAAAGAAATATATTAATTAAAAGAATAATTATTTCACTCAAATAAACTCAAATAATTTGTTATAATTCCGAAGAAACGTTGAGTGCAATTTATTCCAGCCAAATAATTACTTTTTGAATTAACCAAATATTACTTTTGTACTATTCAAAGAAATGTTTCTTTGGTTCAATGAAATTCTTTTCTCGGTGTATTCCAGTCCGATAACAGAAAATGTAGCCAGAAGCGAAAATGTGCAGATAGGAAAAGTAAATGTTCAATTTGTGTTTTATCCTAGCTGGTTTAAAAATGGAGGTTTTATGCTGTAATTCTGTAATTAGCAATGAAATAAACGATTTTGTTTACATTGTATTCACGTTTCGTAATCGTAAGGCTTTCGGGGATTTTGAGGACAAAAGTTACGTATTAACTATCTACAGGGAGGGAAAACGAATGTATGAGCAGAGCGATTAGAATAATTTTCTGGTTTCGCAAGGAATTCCAATTCATCCTGCACCGAAGGTATTTCAATCAGACATGCTCGAGCACGAACCTCATTGTAACAACACTCATTGTAAAGTTTCATCGTGTTCTAATTCCGAAGAACGTGTATGATCGCATCTGGAGGTGATGTGCCCTAGTTAGTAGAATTGTACGTACTCCATACACGCATATATACACGTTTACATATATGCACAACGTACGGGAAATGTACGTATGTCTAAATGACAATTGACATAGCATTGAATTTCCTCCTCTGTAGAAAGTGAGGTTGAAGTTGCGAGGAATTGGCGAGGTGCAAGTGAAAGGTTGCTGGTTACCTACTTATTTTTCCGAGGGGTTATTCATTCAGGAAATTATGGATTTTAATGCTGGAAATTGCAAGCGAAAATCATTGAAACTCACTTGAAGTTGGAAATCACTGATGCATTCTCACAATTTTAAAGTCTAACGTTACCTGTTACCGAATCTCATTGTTGTTTATTATATGACATCAAAGGCAATCGGTTCTCAAAGGAAATTATGGATTTTAATGCTAGAAATTGCAGGCGAAAATCATTGAAACTCACTTGAAGTTGGAAATCACTGATGCATTCTCACAATTTTAAAGTCTAACGTTACCTATTACCGAATCTCATTGTTGTTTATTATATGACATCAAAGGCAATCGGTTCTCAAAGATGGAAATCGTTTTCATTGATTTCCGAGTGAATAGTCCCTAGTGTTTTTCAGTTACGATTAGACCAATGTCTTTCTGCTGGCTACCTCGTGCCAGAATATCATATTTAAAATGAAATTGAATGACTATGATTTATTCACGAAAGGCTACACAATGAGGACATTTCACATTTCTCGGATTATTAATTATAATTCAGGAAGAATTAGTTATTCCACGGATCGCTATGAATTTCTTGTCAATCTACATTTATTGTACCGATTTACTGAAGTTCCATCGAAAACGATATTTAACAGACCACTAATTAACAATCCATAATTAAGTCTAATTAAGCGTATCCGATATGTACGCTTTCCGATTTGGACGCGGAAATATACACGCATTAAATTGTTGTTAATTAAATGCATTAAAAAGAGTATCGCGATTGCGAGGAGGAAGTGTTAATTTAATCGAATGGCTGCGTTACAATTAATTTCTCTAATAATTGGGCTCGATACTGGCTTTTTTTCGGCAATCGACGAATATCGCGGCTCATCGCACATTACACATTGTCTCACTCATCGGTGTTCGTAAGATTTAAAATTGCGAGCTCTTACAGACGCATGTAAAATAGCTGTATTACATACATATTTTTCTTCCATATTTTTGACGAATGAAAATTAGGATTAGTATCCAGTCATTCAGTAGAAACTATTTTGTATTTGCAAAGAACTTCCATGGCATGCAATTCTTACGTTCTCGAATTCAGCTTCTGATAAGGGTTGTTTTTTTGTGTACGTTACTATTGTAAATACGAGCACTGTTTACTTGAAATAGAAACATCTTAAGTAAAAATACCATACGGAAATTATTTTGAACGTTCCGCGGAATGTAAAAGTCAACGCATCTCGAAATTGTGACAATATAGGGTGCTTTAAAAATTACTTAAATGCGTACAATATTTCTATTATTTAATTCCGTGTGTAAAGACAAACGTGAAATAAGGAATAATTATCAATAGTCGTTACTACACAACGACTGACTATATTAATGAGGTAGCAAGGTAGGCTTAGGATGCAGATGTATTTTTTTCTTCACTTATCGTTTCAACTCATTATTTCATTTCGACATAACCACGTCCGTATTCCAAAGTTATTACCAGCAATTCGTTACCTAGTCTTCCGGTCTTTAATATGAACTCTAACGAACCTTGCAACTTCAGCACGGACCATGTTCTCATCTCTGATTCGAATCCATCCTCGGTTTCGTCTTTCCCGTTTAACGATCGGACGTGCGTGCCTAACTAACAAACAAGTGATAAACAAACTCCCGCTGGGGCATGAACGAACAACGACTAACGAGGGGGCACCTGACTGGTGGACAATTAATTAAAACTTGCCACCACCGACGTCTCGTAGCGAAGTTTTATTCGCTAGTGGTCTCGCAATTACTTGCTTTCGGTTTCGTTGATTTTCCTGAAAAAGATATTTATCAAATGAGTGCGCCAGGGTGGAATATAACCGAGAACAAAAATATGCAAAAATATACATGCAAAAGAGCAGACGAAGCACCTGTAGCAGTTTACGGACCACTAGTAACCCTCAAAGCACCGATTAAGAACCACTGAACTATCCAGTGACATGCTAGCAATGCATAGAAATCTGTGTAGCCATCTGTACCGGTACATACCCATGTTCATTACATACGAACATCTGAATATAGGGTATCTACCGCACATTGAAATGCATTCCACTGAACATCCGTGTCAGATCAAATCAATATGACAGACTGGATTAAGGTCAACAACTAAATCATTAATGTCATTAATTCCATCAGTGTTTTTTAATAATGCTTAGAATTGCTCCAGAGTGAACCGAGATAACCCGATTAGGTGAAGTGAAACTACTTGAGAAATTTAATCGCCGATGGGTTAGAAATATTCTTCTGTCAACGTTATCGATGCTCATACTTATATTGACAGGTCAAATCAATATGCGAGACTGGATTAAGATCAACAACTATGCCATTTAGTACAATACCCAATACAATTCGACAAAGCAGTCAACATAAACACCAACACCGGTAACGTAGGCATTCGGAGGGATTTTCTTTACCGATGTCGATTAAATTTCTCGACGGGTTTCATTTTAAGTGGGGATGAACAGCTCCAGAAGATGTGCGAAGGAGCCATTTCTCGCAGGAAGCTGCAGAGCACGTCAGACGAGAAGATATCGAAAATGTGCGGCCGATTTCTATTATTCGGCCCGAGTAGTTGGACCCTGGCGGCTATCTCGTGGAAAGATCAGACCTCGAAGAAGACACGATTCGGAAATTGGGAGATATATCTCGGCCGTCAGGAAAAAGTGCGGGGAACCGATGCCCGGCGGGATCGCGTCCCACCAACCGCGGGGATTTCTCTGGGCGGCAGCTTACCGGCGCTCTTCTGATTTATCGCGCTTGCGCGCTACCGAGTTACTGCGGCGCGACGCGGCGCGACGAAATGAAGTATCGCTGGGTACCGGTGCTTTATTACCGAATGAAATTACATTGGCGCGATGCAGTTACGATTGCAGGACCTGCGGACCATCTGCGAGGCATCGATCCCTTCCTGGCGCGACGCCGGGCCAAGTCCGAAAGTCGCGGCCACGCTGGTAAAAGTGTTCCTCCAATTTACAAGGTACCTACACCGCGGTAGGTGTGATCCATCATTTTAGTGGTGGCCCTTTTGCATATTGTATATGGAATATTGTAACCTCGATTCTAATCCGCCGAATTTAGGGAAATTTAAACGGTAACTACCCTAGTAGCATAGAATAATTTCTAAATATTTCTTTGCTGAGTATCTCAAGCGACAGATTTTTAAGATTTAATATAATTTCTCGGATATTTCATTCGAAGATATTTGAAATTTTTCTTGAAAATCTTAATGACATATTTAGTTTCAGTAATTTATACACGTATACAGAAATTATATTTTTTAACTTATATACGTAATAGGAATACATTTTTTAATTCACGACTATTGTCGGTCACTTCATTTGATACCAAAAAATCATTGTAATATTTTTAAAACGTTATAATGTGTTCGGCAGATAATATTTAAAAAATACTTGTATTAAAATGAAACGAAATGTTTTGTATATCTGGTAGAAAAATATTATGAAAACACATGTAAATATTTCAAATGTCTGCTAAATATTTACAAAATGTACGATATTATATTCAAAGTGTTCGCTTACTCAACGTGTTCATCATCGCCTTCAGCCAGCGTTCCTTTCCTTCATTAGCGCATAGACGGTGAACCACCAGTGTAATTTCGTGGTGCTCTCGAGTTTCATGGAATTGCCGCAAGAGGCGCCATAGGAGGGTCGGAGGTCCTACTAAGCACATAAGATGTCGCATAGAGCGCGGCGCGTTAGTGCGTCGAGGATGAGAAACCAATCAGAACTACGCTTTATCTCGTGCGTCATTTTCGCCGCAGTTCTAATTAATTTTCATTTTAGACGCCTTAACGCGTCGTGCTGTGACCTCCAACAAACGTAGTGAAACTTCGGCCATAAGTGCGGTTTCCTCTGCATCACGATAAATGGATGATTTTGAGGTTAGTAAATATTGATGACATTTTTAGAGCAAACGTAAATACCTTTTACTTTCTCTTGTGACGAATGGATGAATTTTCGGGTGAACAAACGTCGTAGGTTTTTTTAAAATGGATCTTTATGAAAGAATGGATGTTTTGCATTTTTTTTCATGTCGATGATGTTTTGTGGAAATTATGTCTATGGTGGTGTTAATCACTGGTTTACTGACTTTGTTTTGTGCGTACTTCCGCTTGGAATTTGATCGTAAGATTTGTTTCCTAATTTTAATTCTGCCAAGTTTAAGTTTGAGTTCTTTTTCCGATAATTTGGATTGTGTGTACTTATTTTTTCACGAAGTTGAGGGTATAATTAACAGGTATCGTTTTCATGAAGTACTCTGATCGATTTACTATCGCTCCCCCCTGCAGGTTGATGTATGGTACGGTCTAAAATTGCGATAGTGCTGCTATTTGTCGATTGCAGGCAAAACTGCTTGCCATTACTCATGTCGCTGAACTTCACAGTATACGCGTATTTGCACATTGGGTAGACTTTTTCGCTTTTGCTCAGATTTCTTCCGTTCATCCCCCTTTTCCCCCATTTTGCCGTCTATGTAAGATCACCCTATGAATACCATGCCTTGGTTGTTCATGTGAAAAACAGCGATTGAGCGTAAACCATGTGGACCGAATTGATAACGCGGTCGTTTCTGTTTTACATACGCAATGATATCAGAAAACCGATTTTAACCCACATTGCGGATATACCGTTTCAATGCTGATACGGTAGAAACGAAATCATATGGTCATATAACGTATATCACAAACCAGCTTGTGATCGTTATCAGCTGCGGGCATTTCAAGGGAAGAGTTAGAGTTAACGTTAATACACTCAATCCTCCTCTTGTAACACGGTTTCGATATAACACGGTGCAAAAATTGCGACAACCATCCTATAACACGATATTGTTATAACATGGTTTCCAAAAATACAACTTAATAAATATTGACAACTCTCATATAGTACAAGTATTTCCAAGTTCCGCTTAACACGATTTCGATACAACACGGTACGAATTAATTTTGTTACTAGAGGGCTGAATGTGCCACCTTTCTCGATTGTATACAAAGTGATATTATTAATTGTCTTGAGTCGTCTTTTCTATCCCTACAACAAATTTTTACCCCAAGCTACATACGGCGAGTCAGAAGGACAAGAAATTAGTTCGGGAGTCGATTACTTGGATGATTAAGAAAAATTGCATATGATCATAGCTGTCATCAATAGTGCCGATAATGTAGCTGTTTAAATGTTTTGGAAATACATGGAATAATAATGAATCGTAACCGTGTCACGATCAGTACAAATGCTCAAGTGCTGAACCGTGATCGTCAATATAATGAACAATATTTACAATATTTTCATACAACATTATTACAGCGCTGTTTTAGATTTTGTACGGCAATTTCTAGGAACGCAAAACATGTATCATTCATTATTATTCCATACAAAATTTAAACAGGTGCATCCTTGACGCTATTGAGAGTAATAGCTGTGTATATATTGTATGTAATTTTTCTTGTAATGCTCCAAACTATCATCTGAATATATTCCCGTCTTCTCTTCATCCACTCTATGTACGAAACATGGCATGACGAAGGCCACGTGTCAAAAGTTCAGGCACTGATAATTGCAAACATGAAGAGCAAAGTTGCTTTCTACACAAAGTGCCGATGAAACGACTGCCTTTCTTCAGACCAGCACACTAACTGGAAATGTACTATTGAAGTTCTAACAATAATACCACTGCTGACACAACCACACAGCTAATTGGTCGAGATGACGGAGTCTCTAAATCATGTCAAGGCAAGGCCAAAAATACCTTCTCATAAATCCTTACTCCAAAATATAACAATTATATAGTACTCGTCAAACGAATAAATTACATATCCGTTTACTGCACGGTAGAATCAGTGTACGCAATAAAAGTCGATTAAAGCCTCTTTGTAAACGAATCCTGACACCGTGGGAACAAGTTAAGATTCGCGCCGAGGGGGAAGCTGAAGAGAATACCGTTTCGCGAAACGTAACCGTCTTTATTGCCGCTTTCCACCTGTATTCGTTATCGCGATCCTATCTACGTGTAGAGTCGTATAAACGGGCACGGGCGTGTAACAGCGCTTACGAGATCGTTTTACCACTTCCGATCTCCCGGTGCAAAATAGAAGTTCCGGTCTTAATCTTCTAAACTCGAATCGGGTAATTCTTTTTTACTTTTCATGGACTGATTTTGCAATTTCAAGGAATTTGCGTTTTAAGGCCTCTACATACGCGGGGCATAATTCCCGATGCGTGATGTGCATTGTGTGGTGATAGGGTGAACGGATGATGCGTTCAATTTTGGTACCTTCGCATTAGTACCATCTCGACGGATAATTTAAAGCATGCTCAAAGAAGCCTTTGCCTTTCTTAAGGTGATATGAAAGTGACATCTGAGAGGGTCAACGGTTTATGAAACTTTTTTCCGGACTTGATGTATCGAATTGTTTAAAACTATCACCGTGAACGTAGAGGCCTTAATAAAGGTCCTGACACCCGTCAAAATTCGATTTTTGTACAAAATGAAGTTTCTTTTGGGTCAGGACCTTTCTTAGGTCCATCACGTTCACGCGGTAAACATTCAAACGATTCGATACGTTCTATTCGAAGAAAAGTTTCATGGATGAGTTCTTTCAGAAGCCAATTTCATATCGCTTTACGCTGTGAGGCGTTGTGTAGATGGATGATTCGTGGTTAGTGGTTCGTGGTGCGTTGTTCTCGGTGCGTAGTGCGTGGTGTGCTGGGGACAATTCACTTGGAAATCAGTGGAAAGCATTTTTATCTCTGACAATGAGAGCCAATTGCCTTTGATTTCACATGATAAACGACAATGCGTTTTGGTGACAAGTGACATTTGGCCTTAAAATTGTGACAATGTTTCGGTGATTTCCAACGATTTCCAATGATTTTTGCTTGCGGTTTCTGGCAGATTTCCAAGTGATTTCGAAGATTAAAATATATGATTTTCTGAGTAAATATCCCCTCGGTGGGGTGTCGTCTAGTTCAGTTTAATCGTCGAGTATTTGTGGTACAGACTGCATACAATATGGAGTGGAACAAAGAAACGACTATTCAATTTGTGGAAACAATGAATGATTACTCCTGCTCGTGGGATCTCACGAATACAGAAGAAAAGAATAAGAGAGTTGACAGTGTGTCGTTAAAGAGAAAGAGGAACAATTCTTTCAGACGTACAGAAATTATAAAATGGTAATTGGGAGTCACGAACCACACATAACACACGTTCAGTTCGTTGGAACGGCGAATTTGGATACATCGATGCACCATGCATCGCGATTCATGCACATCAAAGATCACGCACCACGCATAGTGTGTGGGAGTGTAGTTGTAGAAAGCAGCGACTGATGCCCAGGCACCGCACGAAGTACAATATCCGTATATTATACGTATAAATTAGATCAATAGGTATACCAAACGTATGTCGTCTATTGCTTTGCAAAATTAATGTTTTTTGCAAATATATAAATCTATTTTATGTACATGCCTATACAACATATGTCATAGATATTTAAAAGACATGTATAAATATCTGTGTACCTTGTAAATGGAAATTGTATTTTCTTTCGATCTACAAATATCTACTTCTTTCTTATTAAAATGTTTATTTTTTTTATACGAGTATATTACGTATACTATACATTCAACGGTGCTTGGATGGTTACCCATTCGATCGGTCACGACTGCAGTCCCTTTGGCGTGAAGCGTGGAAATACTTAATATGGAAACCTTGCGAGAAGACGTTATTGAGAATTCATGGAGATGAAGAACCCATGGGAGACTTTACTAGGAAACGAAAGTTACTCGGTGGAAAATGTACCAGTAGAGGCTAAGTTCCGGTCGACGGCTGAATCGGAACGTGACTTCTGTACCGGGTAGGTGTTACACTTTTAAAGGCTTTGAGAATGCAAGATTGTGTGAATTGTTTAAAGCCTCTTGGAAGTACTTCCCGAGGGTGTCTTTGACGATCTCTCAAATTTTCCCTTAATACTTAATATTATACCCTGATATAGCGCTATCAAACTAATTGCGTACAATTAGTACCAAATTATAACGTTTTTAGTTTCTTGTTCAGGGGGAAAGTAGAAAATGTACTGTGTTCATGTTGAACGTCGTCTGTGAGGAAAGTAATTCAAGGGATACGTGAAATATGTTATGGGAAACTTCGGGATTGGATGAACATTCGCGTTTAAAAAATACATTATGCGATCTGCGTAAATCGGATAATGGACGTACCTTTATGTACCAATTATCCAGCAGAACCACGGTATTTAATTCAATGCTGTTAATTGCCATTCGATTGTTACACGATTATACCGACATCATTTTGACCGATTGCAGGAGCATGTTGCTTGAAATTATTCCATGCAGCCCAAAAATTGGTTGCATCTAAGTAGTGCATAGACAATGATGAATAATCGTGGTAACATCATAATCGATCACTCGAAGTTGCCAGTTTCATGCTTAAATGTACTTGACGCGAATCTCTATCAAGTTTCTTAATTTTAACAAGAGCTCCTCCCCTAGAGTACCTTGACCTGTACATGTACTCTGACCAGGATAGGGGGCCAACAATATAAGCATTAGCAGTACGCCACTGAAATGAAATTTTCTTAAAATTAATATAGTACCATCAAAGCCTACATAACGTCTGAAAGCTATTCCTGATATTCAGGGAAGTTTGAAATTTTGTTTACGTATAAAATAATCTGCGTAACTAAAAAGGAATTGTCACGAAGCTTTGCGACGTGGGATACATAGGTCTATCTGAATCTATTTGATCCTTCTGCAACAACAACGTGATTCGTCCTTACGAACGGATATGAATATCTACGACGTCCGTATTATTCCGAAAACTAGTTGGGAATTGCAATCTTTGAAAGTTCGCATAATACAAATAAGT